CCATGTAAGGCTTGCTCCGTAGGGGTCCCTACATTACCTCGACGCTCCCAAAGCGGCACAGAATTTGACAGCGAGACGTGTCTAGGAAAGGGCATGGCCATGGTCCCCTCCCCCAATACTAAGCCCCCATCCGCCGGATTGAAAAGCCCCCCCCCCACAAGTATACCATTTAATCACTGGAGGAACATCCACTACTGGAGGTCGATGATTAGGACAGGGGATGATTGCTTCAAAGCGTTAAATTCTAAACCAGGATCCCCAGGTAGCTAGGTTTTGACAAAACCCAATCTTCTAGTACGTGCTCCTCCTCCCTAATTTGGAACCCCTCCCAATGTTGAGTGCTTTCCAATAAACTTACAAATTGGGGCGTATAATATGAGCTATAAATTCCGCAAAGGAGCGGGGGGTTCTATAGGGGAGTATTATAGAGCTTAGCAATGGGGATACTAGGAGTCTAGACTGTAATTCATATGAGGTGACGTTAGTGGAATCATCGCGCATCTGCGAAACACGTGTACAAAACAGATCCTGAATTACAGGAACATTTTGACTGTGACCCTAAACCCTAAACCCTAAACCCTAACCCCCCCCCCCATAGACACCCATCTTCTAGTCACGCCCATCCTGCTTGCTCAGGCTTTTCGAGCTAGATCTTAATTCGGCCACGCCGGAGATGCTTCGAAACTGCCCCGGTGTTTGGAAGTTACTGCACTCTACTACCAGTGGGTTTAGGGTTTAGGGTTTAGGTACCAATATAGGGGTTTCCCAAAATTAGGGGTACCTTTTTTGGGGATACCCATAATAAGGACTATAGTATTTTGGGGTCTATATTGGGGTCCCCCCCATTTTGGGAAACTACCATATTAGTACAAGTACTGGTACTAATATACAAATACTGCGAATACAAATGCTGATATTGCTACGCCTACCACGACGACGCTCTACCACCAGCACTGCTACCACTAGCACTACCACTACTACCACTTTCACCACCACCCCTACAACTACCACCACTATCACCACCACTACGACTACCAATAAAGATGGTTTCAGTGTAGACCAGAGGAGCATTGGTTTCTCGGAAACTCAGGCTTTGGGCGGTGCGCTCCTGTTTTCATGCTGTGGCCCTTGAAGGCGCTTGCACTGAGCTGCTGCTGCTGCTGCTACTACTGCTACTACTACTACTACTACTACTGTCCTTCATTTGGCGAGTGGTCATCGTCATGGTCTGTTTTTGCGGCTACCGGAATTATTTGGGGGGCCACCGTGTATTCGAATTTGGACTACCTGCCAAACAGGCTTGCAAGATGTGCTTCATCCAAAGGCAGGCTGGCAGGCAAACCATCATTCCGTAGGGATCCAAATGGCCCAATGTAAGTCCTATTTATAGACTTGAGGTCCACAGTAGGTATCATTCATAGGCTTGAATCCCCAGGATTGTTCTAGGCATCATTGCTGAGGTCCGAATTTTACGGCCAGTGGACGCTTGAATCAAAAGTCTCCAGTTGCGCACCTCCACGTTGAAGATTCCGCTAACCCTTTCTTCTCAGCAATGGTACTTTCTGCAATTAGGAGATGCCATCACGGAAGAAACAAGCGGCATCACGACTCTCAGATGCAGTGTGACACCTGGGTTTCGCTGGCCGTTGGTTGGCAGGGCATGAAGGAATCATAGTCCATAAGGGAGGTTTAGGGTTTATTGTAGAATTTAAATGACTCTTACGCCGAAATTAGGGCCCTGTTCTGGTCATTTGTCAGTAGCAGGGTCCCTTTAATCGGTCTCGGAGTTACCAACTATGATCAATGGTACCAGCAGCCAGTAGCATTCTGTCATTCTCTAGTTACAGAGAAGCCTCGCGCTCTCCATGCTCTCATTTTTAGAGGCTCTCAGTTTAGGCCCGGTGCCACCGAGTGATGAGAAAAGTACTCTATCGATACGGGTTCAGTAAAACGCCGAGCTTGGGGGTCTAAAATCCAAACTGCGCATACCTCACAGCAGCTAGCTACTTCTAGAAACTTACCGGCCTCCTTGTCAGTCAGTCCCTAGACCCTGATGTAGTCCGAATTGTTGAGTTGGAACCTGATAAATGGTTTGTAATGTCGAGTCGAGACACTCCAGTCCTCAAACACCTTCCATCTACTAGTACCTTCCATACTCTGGTCTGTATCTAAACACGGTGCGAATACCTCAAAGCAACTTGGTATATCTTGAAATGTAAGGTCCTTCTTATTCGCAAGTAGTCCCTAGGCCTTATAAACCCTGGTGCAGTCTGAGTTGTTGAATGAGATCCTGAAAATTGGCTTGTACTGTCGAGAAGCCATCTAGTCATCAAACACCTTCTATATACCTTCCATACTGTGCATATCCCTATAAACATGGATGCCCTATGCCTAAAACCTAACCCGTGGACCCTCCTAAAATTACTCGCCGTATCGAAAGCCAGGAAGTCGAACACTTCCGAACACATTCGCAGCTGGCTCGGGTCCCACAAGCAGCTCGCGCAGCACATCGATCTGCTTGGCCGGCCCTTAGGGTCCAAGTACGTTCAGGGTTTAGGGACTTGGCACCTTTTTTTTAACTGTACTGCAGGTTGAGGGGAAGTGTTTTTGTTGGTGTGGACTGGACCGCCAGGGTAGTATAAGGCCTGAAAATTGGGATTAGTATCCATGTCGCACTCTCAAATCATCGCTGGGGAACATCCTGAATTTGGGATTAGAGAGGAGTACCATTAACAATTGCATATGGAGGGTTCCTCACATTGTGGTCAACGAGACATACTGAAACCCTGCCTAAGCAATCAATCGGGACCCCCTCCCCGCTAAATCATACACTCTCCCTAAGGGTCCAGGTAATAATCATAGACGTACCCAAAAACCTATGCTGGAATTACTCGTGCCAAAAGCACACTAAGTACCCAATATAATGATTGGATCAACTCTAACAACCCAGTCATGTAGAACGCGCCATCTCTATGGTTCGACATGCTGGGGCACCATGATCACAGAGCCTTGGGGGCGTAGGGTAACATAGGGGGTAGGTAGGGCCTGTATAAGGATATGCAGGAGATATTTCTATTTTTTATTTAGGCTAATATGTAGGCATATGTAGGGTTGACTCAGTGGCTTATACTACTCGAAAACCATATCGAAGATGAAACGAAATCAAACTACTACTACACATGGGGCTAAACAAAGACTATATATCGGTGTAAGGATTTGTCTGGGCGCGGGGTCGCCCTAAACCCTGAACCCTAAAAACAACCCTTTGAATTGAAGAACATATTCTTCTCATTAATTAATTTTAGGGGTCCTCAGACTTAGGGTTTTGGGTTTCTCTACATATATAAGTTACCTTATCTAAGATTTAGAGATGTAGTCCTTGCAGGCCATGCGACGCTTAGAGGCTCGAAAAGGCATCGGGGCCCAAATGCTAACCTAGCAAGCTGCAGCGTTCAGACAGAAAAATCTTGCCCCTAAGCCCTTGCTTGGGTAAGATACCTTGAGCAACTGATGAACCATGGATTATAGGGGTATGGAAAAAGAAAGTTGCAGCGCACACATTTCGCTTTTGGATGCGTGCATGTTGGAAGGGATATTATGCTCCTCAGATTCCTCCCGAACTGCATCGGGATTCCAAAACATGTGGAGAGAGCTGTTAGTAATGGTGTTGGGTCTTTTTGTCTTGGGCAGCGAAGGTTCGACCTGGTCCTTACAACGCTTCTTTGCGTGACCTGGCGCTGGTATACTTAAGAGGTTAAAGGGTTGCTGCAAATGGGCCAAGGTGGAGATGTGTTTTACACTTTCTAGTCACAGTTCGGAGGGACATGCATTTTTGAAGGAACCAGTCTACATCCACAGCATCAAGATTACAGATCAAGGGTCAGGGCTTGTTGTGGTGAGTGTAGACGCTTACCTACAGTCCTAGACTGCTTAACTAGCATGGTAAAGTGTAGCTCAGACGGACTTCAACATGACATTGTTCTTTTTTTCGGGCCGTACAATACCTGGCAAATTGGGTCTGCCATAAGCACTCACACGTTCTAAATCTCAGGCAGCCGTATGCCCCTGAATCCCAGAACTTGCCCACTGACCCCACCTGGCCCCCACACTGAACAGCCCAAGCAATATAGTCTTGTTATGCTGTCAACAACTGTCCCTTATACAATATGGGTGGTTGCCAAAATTATGGTCCCTTTTTGGATCCCCATTATAATACGGCACCTAATATTTAGGGTACCCAAGATGGGACCATAATTTTGACAACCAATCATATGGGGGTAGAATCTAACTTACAACCTCGAAGGTTGTGTGCTCCGAAGCCCAGGTGACCAGTATTCTAGACCGGTAAAACAGAGCGCCCAATACAGAGTAAGATTACACTTTCCTTTAATTTTCCTCTGACTTTCATGAGTTTAAGAAATACCTAGTAATAAGTACCTCGAAAGAAGAAGACAGCCTGACTTGGTTCAACCAGCGAAAGTCGCGTGACCACCAAAAGTGATGACGCCTTAATCTGTGGGCAACCATTGTAGCCACAGTGAATAACCCTATACAATTCCGAAATAGCCCTATAGAATCCGTAGATGACCCTATAGAATCCTTAGATAGACCTATAGAGTCCCTAGATAACCCCATCGAATCCCGAGATAACCCTCTAGAATCGCTAGATAACCTTTTCGAATCTCTAGATAACGCCATAAATCCCTAGAGAACCCTATAAATCCCAGATCACCCTATCGAATCCCTAGACAAGCTTACAGAATCCCTAGATAACCCAGAAGAATCCATAGATAGACCTATAGAATCCCAAGATAACACTATAGAATCCCCATTGTAGGCACTACTCAGGTGAGTAGCATTTATTTGGGGATACTATCGTACCCAATATAGAGTAAGATTATATCCTCCTTTTGGGTATAGTATTTTAATATTTTACATAAGGAATATTATCTTACTAGGTTCAACCATCAAGAGACACTACTTAGGTGAACGTGATCTGGATGGGCCTTGAGCTGCAGGTTGAATCCTCAGAGTGCGCGCCATGCCTCGAGGGCCCCAACCACCGTTCCAGGGGTTTAGGGTTTAGGGCTCATACACAATTTGCTTCGTATTGCATTTTCCTCTACTGATTTTCTATATGTATATATATATATATTTAGATCTATATCTCTATATATAGCTAGATATCTCTCTCTCTCTCGCTCTCTCTTTGTGTTTGTGTCTGTGTCCGTGTTATAGAATATACATATATACATGTATGCACATATAGAGAACCATCCTTGTACAATTTAAAAGGTTTTTGGTACGGAGTAGCAGGTATTTAGGGTAGATGGAGGGTCTAGGTATATATGTACATGTAGAGGCCTGTGTTTAAACCCCGAGATTATATGCGGGAATCCATTTTGGGCCCGAAGTATGTGCTAGAAAGATACAGTTTTTAGGTTGTGGGAGCTTCCGAAAATGGTGCGTCCCCTGGCCTTGTGCTGGGAATGAAGATATGCGTAACCAGTCAAGTAGCATTTGGACACCCCCCACCTTAAACGCTAAGGGCCCGCCAATTTCGCAAACGACTTGCTCTTGAGCTGATGCCGGGGCTTTGAGTTGGACCCTGTTGGAGCAGCTTGACCCCTTTTTTGATCGGTTTGGGACTGTTTGGTGGCATAATCATCGTTGTCATCCCAATATTTTTAGCTTCTGTCGTGTCTCGCTTGAGTTACATAGATGTTTGTTCGTGGTGCTCTACTGCGTGTATCCAGATCTAAGCATCCCGCTCACAGCCCTGCGCTGTTCTGCCCTGGGGGGTCCCAGGGACAATGCTGAAGTGAAGGTTTCCGGGTCCTACACGGGCTTTCGACTGAACGTCAACACCTACACGCTACTGCCTGCTGCTTGGGAAGACTCTGCCACAAGGTCGCTTGGAGTCAGATGGTTGCTGAAGGAAGCATGGGTGTAGGGTTTAGATGAGCTATAGTCTAAAAATCCTTGACTGGGGTTATATAAGGGGTTGTATAGGGACTACTATAGGGGTTACTAAGGGGGATACTAGGGATTTAGACTAGTTCAGATGAAGATCTCGCTGCGGCTGGGGTGTTGCCAAAGCCCCAATGCTGGCCAGCAATGGGATTCCACTGGTCTGACAGCCTTTTTGTTTTTTGTGGGAGTAGTAAGCACCCCCGATGCCGATCTACAGGGGCATGCGTGTTTTTAATTTGGGGTCTGTTTTGGGGTGTGTGAAAGTGCCTCTCTCATGCTGCCTTCAGGTTTTTCCAGACCGGTGACCTAATATTCACCTCGCTGTATACCCTGGATGTCCTCGCTGCCTGGCTCTGTCAGTCCGAAGCCACATTATATTGGGGGAGGTTAGATGGGGTTATATTGGAGTGTTATATGGGTTATATTGGGGTTATACTAGGGCTATATTAGGGTTATACTGGGGTTATATACTGCTTCTCCATCCTTGGGGAGTGGAGCAGTTGGAAACATGTCGAGGCACCAGGCTGAGACATAAAAGCTGAGCAGCAGTAGAAACAGGCTTCCTAGGCAGCAATTCCAGACTCGTGACTGTTGTGGTCCAGGATTTCAGCGTCCCCCAGCCGCATCTCTCGCAAACTAACTCACTCTCCATGCCATTCAGTCCTCATTTGGCGAGTTTCTGTAGGGAGCTACTACAGCAAATTTGAGCGCACAGATGTTCACATGGAACGCATGGAAATTGTAGAGAGTGCAGTCAGCGGAGCTTGATCAATTGAGTGTAGGAACATTGCTTATTTAGCAACAGAGCCTACGCTTCCTCAGATAACAAGCCCAAAACTTCAAGGTCCGTATCGTTGCGCTGAGACGACAGTTCTGGCGGCAGTGCATGAACTATTTGGACGTTCTTGTGACGTTGATCTCGATTATCGAGGCAGGTTTAGCCCAACAAAGCTGCTACTCTGATAATATCCACTCGACTCAACAATAGTCAAGACTGGAACTACAACGATAACAATATGGTGCAGTACGAAGACTAAGGACGATTGTGAACGTTGAGTGACAGGCAGAGCTCACAGAGGGCTTTAGTTGTACCGACCAAACAGCGACATGTACAAAACCCTTGGCTAAAAGTCTGATACTAATTGTAATACTTCAAATACAGTAGGTATAGTTTTTCATGGTGCAGTTCTCGTGCCGTCGCTATTGTTGTAAGACGTATTTTGTTCAACTTTGAGTGCCAAGACATGCCCCTAGCCTGTTGGGAGAAAAACATAGTCATATAGTCATATAGGGATAATGGGAAAGATGATGAAAGCTAGTCTGGTATAATAAGGTAAATATTGGAGTTATAATTATAGGGATAATGGAAAAGAAAATGGAAACTACTTTGGTTGGAATCACAGCTTTGGTTATTGCTGCTATACTGAAGGGTTCCATATGCTGACATTCTTTCCGAAGTTTGGGATTAAACGTTTGTGCCCGGATCCGCCGACTCGCGAGTGCTGAGACCTAAGTGCACATATGTATGTTTCGTAAGGGGTTGTCCTTAAGAAATGTGCTATTACGACCTAGGACCATATTAGATCGTTTTCTAGGTGATTATGTGGGATGATCTTTCAGAGTCCTTTATGCCGCATATAGGGGCCCAGAGCGGTAAAGCTTCCTAAATGCATGCCTACTTTGAGGCCAACAACACCAGTACATAGACCGTTAGGGCAAGTACGGCAGGTCATCATGGTCACGCCAGTGAATCCGTTCCTTTTCCGGTTACTCCGCGCTTCGGCTTTGACATCATCACCAGGCAAGTGTGTGAATTATTGATTTGCTGGCTCAGGGCTTAGGATGTCATCCGAAGTCTTGAGTTTTTGGAGGAGCCGTGGACCATTACCTGGACCCCAAAAGTATGTCAAATAATGGCCTTTATTGCTGTTATTATGGGTTTAGGGCTAAAATTTGACATACTCTTGGGGTTTAGGTACTTGCATAAAGCTATTCCATGGGTGGCCCCAAATTCTTGAAGCCGGCAAGTGTTCATCCTGCAAGGCATATGGGGATCTCCGAAGCAAAATCCTGCCAAACAACGCCCAAGTTAATGTATGGTCCCCCTTAAGTAGATAGAATATGTCTTTGGGTGTGTTAGAATAAGATCCCCATATACCCCATGTTCTATCTACTTAAGGGAGACTATAAGCCCTCACAATCTTGCGAAGACGCAGCCTAGGCATTGGGAAGTTGGCGCGGGCGTTGCGCCTCATTACTTTGTCGAACGTGCCCTGGCTCATTGCCAAGCCACGTCAGACACTTAAACCTACACCCTAAACAGAAGGGTCCATTTCCATTATTCCAATATAATTCCTTTATAACCCCAGTATATCCCCGTATATCCCGTCCTTGTTGTATTCTTTGGCCTGGGCTGGGTTTAGGGCATGGATTTTTGGGTTATATTGGGAAAGTGAAAAGAAAATGGAAATTACTATTCAGGGTTTACGGTTATTAGGTTTAGGGTTGTAATCCTTGATAGAACTAAGCTGGCTCATGACCCTATTCACCAGAACCCTAAACCCTGAACTTGCTTACCGGAACTTGCATAGTATATAGAATATAGCTCTGGGTATATCTCATATTCTATCTACTTAAGGGGGACTATAGGTTCTCTTGGTTGGTATTTGAGATGGACGGCCAGCCGCAGCTTCGTGCGAGCCTTTGGGTTTAGGGCTTAGAGAAGATTCGGGCTAATTGTTTAGGGGATAATGGCAACTACCTATTTAGAGTTTGGGATTTAAGGTTTAGGGCAGCTGGTGGGGAAAAGGAATGGAAAAACACATCGACAGCATGATATTCTTTGGGGGTATACAGAGGCTACTAATAGGCATCCATGCCCTAAACTCTCAACCTTGACTTGCTTGAAGTATAAGTGCGGATCGAGGGCCCCTAAACACGAAACCCTAACCCCAAACCCTCTATTCATACATATATATATATTAGCATATGCAAATAGATGTATACATATATATATATATATTCCTATATCATTCCCTTATTCCCTAAAAATCCCAATGCAGCATGAGAAGTACCAGACTGGCAGCGAAAGTTTCCAGATTTAGAGTTTAGGGTCAGATTGCTGAAGGGTGCATTCCACACAAAGTTGGAAGCTCTGCGGTTTTGGGTCCTGTCAGGCTTATTAATTCCCACAGGGGCCGGGGAGGAAATGATGCGGCCCAGATTCATCTTTTTGCTTGGCCCTGGCTAAGCCTTTACTATGGCAAGCTGACGACCCCATTACTTTTCAAGCGCGAGAGCATGTGACACGTGTCGAGCTGAACTCCTGATTCGATCCCGACTTTTGAAATACAGTTACTATAGTAAGTAAACCCTATAATTGTTATTATTATTTATTACATTTCTATATCATTTTGCCTGAAATTCTGGTCACAGCCCACACCCTCCCAGCGGGGCCGGCCTACCAGGTGCTACAGTCGCTGGAACTTTTGACGAAGTGCTTGCAAGCAAGTGTCGAAATGCTGCTGCTGGCTTAGCCAAATGAATTGGGGTCCATGTTTTCGAAGTGATTACTGAGGTGAGCTTCAAGGAAGCGGAACTCTGGGTTTCAAGTAGAGCGCTGTAAGGCAGAAAGCATTTTTACCTGAAAAATGCGCTGTTTTTGTTCACAGCTTGGCAGTTCCTTTTTTTGAAGCCTTGGGCAAACCCCTGGGGAAGCCTATTGCGCTTCTTAAGATCTTGGGTCTCACTTCGCCTCGCGGTCAGGATCCTACTATGTTTTGCGGCATAAACGGGAAATGTTTCAGGCTTTCTGTTTGAAATCCCAAGCTCTGCTTAGAAAAGCTGTGAGGTTTTGGACCTTCTGCCTCCTGATATGTCTGCAATGTGTGGCTGGGATGCTGGTGAGCGGTCTCTGCCGCGACTTCATCGAGGACGAGACCTTTGGCTTGTAAATGCTGTTTGATTTGCTGTTTTACCCTAGGGATTCGTCTACAACGCATAATGGAGAATCGAACGGAGAAGAAAATGGAACTGAAATGGAAACCAGGGTTGTAAAGGGTCTATCGATATATATATATATATACATACTTGGCCTCATATTTATATACAAGAACCTGGGTATACAAATAATACCTACATTGGACCCTAAGGTCTATAGATATTACCTGCATTGGGCTATTTGGATCCCCAGGGTTAGGAGGGTAAAGAGATTTGGTTTTGGGGGTTTGAGGATTGTTGATTTGGTTCGCTGTGCAGGCAGCATCCAAAGCTTAATTGAGACAGGTTGGATAGTACGCTCTTTGCGTGATGAGGAAGTGTATAATGCAGAGTCTTGCTACGGTTGGGCTTCAATAGTTGAATATCCTGCGTTGGCCGAGCTTTGGTTTTGCCGGTACGCTCCAGGCCCGCGTTCAGAGACGGAAAAGCTTTGTGAAGCGTGGAAGGTTTTCTGGGCTAAGAGCTTGTGTTATTCGGGTATGCGCATGACACGTTCCGGCACCAAGGAGTAACAATCCTCGGATCCGGGAGGAAGTCTTCCGGTACTACGGAACCTTCTCCCGTACGCTTCCGGGCAAGAACTTGTTGGTACTGTAGGCGAGCTCCCAAGCGGGCCCACCTCCACTTTTGACACAGCCACCCCAAGGTTTGAAGCAAAGATATTCAAGAGATTTCAAATTGGCATTCTCTTGCTCTACAGCTTCGAAGCCATATCATCATGTTGAAGACTGCATTGGGCACTGGTAGTCTTGAAGAACTTTGGAAGCGGCAGGCCATTCGAGAGGTAGCTTTGTGGTGCACTGTAGGGACCTAGAGAGGTAAAATGACGTGGGTTGAAATGGAAAAGATGGAAGATGAAACAGGGAGCAGATTGCTACGGATTGTAAAAAGAAATCTTGGAATGGGAGGGGAAAAGATTGTTTGTACCATCTATGCCGCAGAGATAGGGATTCCCGGCGCTTTTGAATGTTATACGTGAATAACATTGCAAGGAAGCCGGCCAGCAACAAGTGGCAAAAGGGCGTCAACTGCGGTGTTTAAATTCCGACTACCTAAAACCCTGTAAAATAATGTCCCTAAGCCCTAAACCCATCAAAACAGCCATAATTAAGGGCCATCATTTTACATACTTTTGGGGTCCAGGTATTGTTTAAATTGTGTTTCGTCCCCGGAGCGATCTAAGACTGGGATAGAAAGAGGACCAGCCCCCCCAAAGTAGGACCCTATAGCTGTCGCCTGACTGAATTCGGGGTTGGGGTCAGCATAGAATCCTTTCAGTATGGAATTCACTCAAAACGTCCACCCCAAACTCGGTGATTCCGAAGGTTTCTCTCTATGTTTGAAATCCTTTTTGCCGCTGGCCTTTGATTTGGAACTCTTTTCTGTTTCATTTTTTCTGTACAGGAAGGTATCCATCTAGAATCTTGAAGTGGTTCATGTCAAGCTGAAAGCTCCGCGAGGCAAACTGGGGACCACCTTGTCGCGTTGTTGTGGAGAACATCAGCGAACCTCGAGACTATTTATAAGGGCTAAGGGTCTTGGGTCTAATTGCATGCTAGCGACGCCTGTCACCAACATGATTTTAGAGTGTGTTGCTGGTTGTCAAGGTTTGGATGTTTTGATTGCCAGCTCCGTTTTGTTTCACGAAGCTATTTAGGAGTGGTACTGTGCCGGGAGCGCGGCTGTGAGTTTGTGGAATCCAACTTATTAGCCCCTTCGTTTGAATGTTACCTTGTTATTTGTTGCTACTAACTACCACCACCCTGGTACAAAATTCTTTTCTATGGCAGTTGTTATTAACAAAAGTTGTAGACCGCCAATCGAACTAGCTGCAGAAGTTCCAAACTAATCCCTTAAAAGACTCCTTCACTTCAGAGGGACCCCATCATTCCTTTCTTTTGCAGGTGTCTTCTAATGGCCCCATAGTGTGTGAACCTGCCTTCCCAAGTCAAATGGCCCTTCCTTCTTTGGAAACTTTACAGCTGACGCGGTTAAGGGTTTAAGGGTTTACGGTGATTCTTCATATCATGTACAGCATCGTGGCCCCGATAGTGTGTCAGAAACAGAGAGTGAGGAAGGCCTCCACCCACCTACCTCCTTCTCTGCTTGGCAAGGAATGGTTCTCTGCGTTCTTCCTGCTGCGCCTGGGCTGAGTATTTTGTTCCAATGGCAATTTTCCTTGAAGCGCTGCGCATGTGATTGTAAGATTCCCCGGCAAACAATGATGCGATCCACGCATCTTATGACAGCCGTAAGTATATGAATCTCTGATACCCGTACGAGTTCCAAAGCACCCGTTTTTGGCATACACGGACGTCCACCACAAAAAAATGCATGGCAGGTACAGATGCGTGTTGGGTTTCGCCGTATTAAATGCCGCTTGCATCCAAATTGGCAACGCTGTTTGTCTCCAACCATTTTAGGCTTCAGGGTGGGTTGGCAAATGTTTGAGAGTTGTTTGTCAATCCTTGTATAGGATATTGTCAACATATTGGTCTCATCCATGTTTATTTTCGCTGCATGTTCGAGGACGGTTTCTAGGTTCTTGAGGAGCCTGGAAGAAAGCGTGGTCTCAACACCTGGGAACTTTCCTGCTGAAACCTTGGGGCGTAGGTCCTAGGGCCTTCCAGGATTGCAGTTGATGGAAATGCTGTACACTCTTTCAGTGGGTACAATGCTGCAAACTTAAGCCGCCAAGTCGTGGGCAACAACGGAAACATGCATCTGCCTGAGGTCGTGTCTGCCGTGTTTCCGTGCTATTGTTCAGTACGCTTTTCTTTGATGCGTATGCTGAAGCACTCTTCTTCATGGAGGCCCAAACTTCTCATAGGACCTTAACTCCACAGCGGTGAAGCAGGTTTGTGCAGCAAACCATGAAGACGGCAAGCTCAGATGAGGAGCTCTTGATGCATTGCCGCGCCTGAAGTAACCTTCAGATCCAGCAGCTTCGGGATTTGAATTGTTTGGTAGGTTTTCTGGTAGGCCCCTGGGTTATTTGATATTTCCTAATGGCTTTAATAAGGGGCTCTATATATTAATATTTTTCAAAGGGCTTTAGGGGCCAACCCAGGTTTGCATACTTCGGACGTCTATTGTTGCCCAGGCTAAAACCCTACAGTCTAGACCTTCCACCCTTACCTCTATACCCTCAACACCCAGCTCAGAAGACAAGTGCTGTAAGCCTTGACCCTGAGTCCTCAACCTACTCGTGGTCCCTGGTGGCTAGGAGGGATCGGATAGACCGATCCTGATAGCAGTGCCCTATATTTCCCCCACAGAAGGTTCCATATTCTTTTCCAGTCTTCCTTTCACTACAACTAGACCAGCCGTAAGTCAAGTTAGAGCCTGGAGTCCTGAGCCGCACACCCTTGGTCCTCATGAAGCCTGGCTGAATCTCTGAAGCCTATGGTCCTTTCGGCGGGCTATCCGCAATCTGTTCTGGGCCTCCTTGATTCCATCCATCTTTGGATTCCCCTCACTCCCTACCTCAACTACCAACGCTTGGATCCTACCATGGCGCATCGTCCACCCCGTGCTTTGTTGAAGGAGTTGGCCTTTAAGCAGAAAGAACGGGATGTGGCAATGTACACGCGCAAGGCGCACTACGAGCTGCAGGATCTGGGTCCTCTTGCGGGTTCCAAAGGCATTGTGCCTGAGAATTGTATTACGCGTGCATGGATCAGAGAAGGGGCCAAGGAAAGTCCTCATGCTGGTTCACTGCTGTGTATGGCACTAAGGGGGGACCGGCATTTCAGAACTCCACAGTTGTCATTTCTGGTCGACAAAGGTTACTTACCCGGCGCAAGGGAGAGACAGTGAAAGCCACTTATGGCGTGCCAATCTTCTCCTATTTCTTTAAAAGCACTTTGTTACTGACCTTAGTCATACATGTCATGTGGCTAAGGAGTGGAGTTGTTGTAATGCAAAGGATGCTCGCTGCAGAAGGCTTGATCTTGCAGGCTAAGAATACACTTTATTCTTGTCATCCAGCCTGCTGTTATGATGAGCCAATAGAATGCCCTTGTAGTCCGGATGTGCCCTTTTCATGTTGCTGTAGAGGCACCCGTATGTTGACTGTCACCGGTACCATGGTTGAGTTTTGTGAGGTTTGCGTTCAACTGGTGAGTTAGGTTTCGTGCAAGGCTTAAATCTCCTTTCTTTGGGAGCTCTCACAGGGCCTGGGTCACGTCAGCAACCTATTCGAGGCTCACCATGTTTCAAGTTGACGGAGGAAATGTAGTTTGCGACGGGCGCATACAGCTCTTACACCTTTGTGTGTTTTACTCCCCTAACGCATCCTGATTGGGACCCACCTTCGAAGGTGCGAAAGCTTTTCCAAACCATGGATGACTCAGGCAGGGTGTGTCAAGGCTGCTGGAGTGGTAGTTGAAGGCTATACGATACCCCTACCCTACAGACTTTTTCCTTCCTGTGACGGGTCCTCTTCAACCTGGGATGCGATCTTAAAGTCCAAGCACAGCCGACAGTTTGAGGCTTGTAGGCTTGAAAGCCCTTGCTGCACTCCTAATTTGAAGAGTAGGCGGCATGAAGCTTGATCATTTCTAGTGAGGTCTTCGGAGCCGTTGCATGTTTTGAGTGCATGCGCGGGGCTTTGGCCTTCTTGTGGTTAATTTTTTTCGGCGCCAGTCTTGCGATGGTTTCAGAAGAGACCCTCTGTCTTCCTCCTAAATCAGCCCTATCGACTGGACGTCAGGCTCCTAACGTGTCCTCAGGACATGAACTACCTCCAACACCGGACAGGCTCCAACTAACATCGATGTGACCGTGTAGTCCTCTCAAGAGCACTGAGAAGCTGCGGGAGCCAGGGACAGCAGTCAAGAATACTGTCGGATAATGATGCCTTCCCCACTAAATCACTCAAATTGTTTCCCTTGACTATCCCGTGATCGCACGCAGCTGCGTGGCGTTGCCGCAAGATCTTGCGCAAATCCTTGCGACTATTCTCGTACTTTTCGTGCAGATGGCCCAGAGTTCTGTCTTTGATGAGCACCTCCCTATACTGACATGGGGGCAGAAGTCTATCTGTTTTTAAAGTTCCATGCTTGCATAAAGGAGCCCTGCAGAGAGGCAGCCGCAACCCTTGAGTTAGGCATGGTGTAGAGCTTATGACGTACAGGCTTTGGCTTGAGAGGCCTGACTTAGTGTAGTGGGTGAGGTTGGTGTTTGGGCACAACAGGCGACGGCTCACTGAATTTGGAAGAGTTCGCCAAGCTGGCCAACTCACCCAAGTTGAAGAATCTTGACCGCAATCCTTGTGTGGGCAGGTGGTTTTACATCATGGTTTTGATTAAGTACAGTTTCAAGCTGCGTGCAAGATCTTTTGTGGCTAAGACTATGGCAGCTTCGGCCCCTGCATGATGGAAAGTGCAAGGTTTGGGGTCCAGGCTTAGGTTGAAGAGGCTTGCAGGTTGTTTCCAAAGATGGTTTGGCCTGGGTGCATAGAAATCTATGTTTTTTTGGGGACTTTAATGTGGGAACGTTGGGTGCAGCAAGAATCGACGATTTCTTCGTGTCCATCTAGGATCAGGCGGTCCTCTAAGGAGTGGGGGGCACACAGCGGTTTTTTAGGATTTCATCATAGGGGCCGTGCGCGGCCTTCATCCCCTCACGACTCCCACTTCCTGCGGGAGTCAGGAACTTGACATGCTTCACGCTGGTTCTTGTGCTTAGGAGCTCTGCGTTTCCCAGGGGGGCTTAGTGTGTATCAACATGAATTGCAATCCATATGCCTAAGTAAGGGTCAAATCAGCGAACAGAGTTAAGGAACTGATCAAGTCGCCAGTGGCTTTCTGGTGACAGCAGGCGAGCAAACAGAATTCAGCACTACATTCCTCACGGCTGGCGTTGATGATTTAGCCTGCATGGCCAACTTCAAACCAATGCTTCTTAAACTCATGAACTGCCGATATTCCCGCAAAGAGCACTTTTCCTGCAATCTTAAGTAAGCTGCCTTTGTTCTGCAAGGTTTTGGATGAGCCAGCTTGAGATGCCTGCTTGCATTTGGGTTTTTAGGTCAGAGGGCTTCAGATTGATTTGGGATACTTTGGGGAACGGTCTACTCGTCTGCATGCCGGGGCTGATTATTTGCAAGGTTCAGTCTGAAAGACGGGCGAAACGCTTCATAATTCGCTCCCATTTCCCCAAGATGACTTATTAGCCTGTGGCAGAGTCCTGCAACCTGGGCTGGTCAAGCAGGAGGGTTTGGGTAGTGGCTGGAGTTGTGCTGACTTGAGCTGACTAGTTATTGCTAGGGTAGCAACACTTCCCACAGCATCTCTCCATCCATGCGTGATATTGTGGTTCACTGTATATACATCCCAATACAATCTTTGCTATGAGGGCGCAGACATACAGCCCGAGCTGACTTTAACACGATGCGAAGTGGTGAAGTGTAGGACTTTTGATGCCGAGACCGGAGTAGACATTGTTGTCTGTCTGGTGTTCTTCATTTGGGCACTGATATCAGTGCACACTGGACATGGCGAAAGTGCCACATCTTCTTGACACCAAAATCTCTGTCTGTCTAGCCTGAGCAAGTTCAAACTGTTAAGTCTGTCTGACCTTTCTCGCCAAAATAGCTTTCGCACCAAAGATTTCGCAAGGTGATGACCCTAGTTTCAGGACCCCTGGCAGCATCCCGTTTCTCCTTAGAAAGATTCTCGCAAAGCTGTGGGATGGCTTTGCAGGGCATTGAAGAAGGGACAGGCGGAACCTCTGGATAGGAAAAAACCCTTACTCGAGACAAGGTTGGAGTATCACGACTTGATGAGCCTCTTCGAGTTCCTTGACAATGGTGCTGCTTGCTTGGCAAGAAGGCGGTGTGTTTTCAGTTTTCTTCCCTCCAATGTTGATCTTCAGCCTATGCACTTGTATTCCGGATTCTCCAAAAGTTTCGACCCCGCAAGGAACCTATCCACAAATTCGTATGTAAGCCCTTCCCATGTACGCTGAAAAAAACACCCTCAACCTTACATCCAAAACTCTCGATTCTAATCCTGTATCCTAAGCCCTGTACCTTACGACCGTAGTTCCTAACTATTAATCCTGCCTCAAAGCCGTAAACTCTGACATCTCTGATCTTACTCGTAACCCCAACGCTGCACCCTCCAACTGAACTCTACACTCTCAACCCTGCACCCTAAACCATTTCTCCTAAGTCCTATCGCCCAAAGCCCGCACCCTAAACTTGCCCTAAACCCAAAACCCTAAACCTTAAACCTTAAACCCTAAACCCTAAACCCTAACCCCTAAACCCTTCCCTAAACCTAAGCTCTACACCCTAAACAGCGCTACAGGATGGGCAAATAACGCTTTCAGAGTTCATCGAAGGCCAGGGTTTTGGACCCCCGAAATGATGGAGAAATATAGGGGTTATATATGGGTTATAAAGGGGTTTAGTGGGGTTATATAGGGGTTGAGTGGGGTTGTAGAAGCTATAGTCTAAACTCCTTAAAGGGGGGTTATGTAGAGGAGTAGTATAGTAAATTATAGTATAGTATAGGGGTTCTTAAGGGGGAGTTTAGAGTATGGCTCGCATGCAAATCCGCGGTATATGGGGCTTGGGGTTTAGGGTTGTGGGGAGCTACTGTCAATATTCGGGGTCTACCAAGAGGACACTAAGGTTGGGCATAATAGAGGTTTCTCTGGTAGTTCAACATATTTCCCCGTCTGATAGGAATCCATGTCCAATACTTATGTGGGATATCTTGACCGTAACTCTAAGGAGGGTTCCAAAAAGAGGGTCCCTTCTCGTTGGGTGCCCCTGCATCAAGATCTGCAAAATACCACATAGGAGTATATAATACGGGCTTCCCGCCATTCATGGGGACATTTGTCTGAAATAAATCCATTTTTTGCGGGAAATTTGTGGGTACTTTTTTTGGGAGTCTGTTCGGGAAGGGGAATTGGGATTGCAACCCCGGGACAGCTCCTTTCAAGACTAAACCCTAAAACCCTAAACCACTGTGGGTTGCCTGCAAGGAGTGGCTCCCAAACACAGACGACCCCGAATGTTGAAACGCCATGCAACATGGAAGTGCCATCAATCTGGGGTTTAGGGTTTAGACCAGCATTCTCTTGGTCATAGTTTCTGTTTGCTGCACAAGGCCCAGGAAGAGTTCCTTGAAGTCAGTTCCAGCATTTCGCGCATAAGTCCGGTTGAGTACTCGGTCATGACATTGAAGGGGCGGAACCGAACAAGAATGTCCCGCTTTTCTTGTCACGCGCCGAAGAACTAGCTCGCCCATGCCTACAATTTACGGATTGGGGTCATGCACGACTTCAAGAACTAGCAAAATTTGCTGGAACTCCCTTTTCACAGTTCCATCATCAAGCTTCTTCTCTTCTTGTCTATCCCTCTTCCAGCAGTACAATGCAAGATTCAACCAGGCGCCGCGCGTCTGCGTGGCTCTGCGAAGGCCATCGACGTTTGGCGCCTGGAGACTAAGGTGGAAGCCCTTTGACTGCATACTGCCAGCGATTAGGTTTCTCAGCTCTTTGGATCCCTTTTTATCCAGGTGTCTCTATGACAGGACCCTAAACCCCCTTAAGACCCTAAGGTTTGATGTTTTAGGGCA